GACAAATTTTGAGGGATGGTAGGAGACATCAAAATAAATATTTTTTGTTTAATAAACATATGTCCGAAAACGCTTAATTTATGAAATAAAATAGTAACGCCAAGTAGATATTTCCAATATTAAAAAATACGGTTTGACTTTCTAATATATTTGTGACTGCCAAAATGCAATACCAACCTTTTTTGGAAAACATATATTATTATTATTATTATTATTATTAATTATTATTTAAATATTGCCACACTGTAAAATAAATGGCATACTTTAAAAATATAATAACTAGTACTAAAAATGCAAATATACTTCCCTAACGACATTTTTAAAGTCTATTATGCCTTTTAGGGCTTCAATACAAAACAACGTAGGAGAAAATGGCACAGAACACAATAGCGCAGAAAAAACAACGTAAGACAAAATAGCGTAGCACAAAATAGCCTAGGACAAAATAGCGAAGGACATAAAATCGAGTGACAAAATACTCCAAAATTATATTTGAACTTAAAAAAAACTAATTTAACTAACTTGGGTGTGGCCTAGAACCCCCACGAATTGCTTTGAAAACAAATATACACACAAAATAGGAAAAATAAAAAAGTTTACTAATTTACCTAACCTGTGTGCCCTGGACTCATCGCAAGTTGTTTCACAAAAAAATTATGGGTTATATTATTTTGTCCTGCAATATTTTATCCTTGCGTTATTTTGTCATACACTATTTTGTCATGGACCCGCGTTTTAGAACCTTATGTTGAGTAAATTTCGAATTATAATGATAAACAATCGTTGTAATAAGATTCTCCCGTTCTTTCCTATAATAATTAGGCAACTACGTGTCATCGTGAATGCTTGTAATTCGATTTTTGTAAAAAATAAAAAAAAATCGTCTAGTAACTAGTATTTGTTCGAAAGAGTTTTTACTCATTTTATATGCTTTAGGAACCTAATTGAGAGAAAAATAATATTTAAGGCAATTTATTTCCTAATAACGCCATTTTGATTTTTACAAGTTTGACATCAAATTCGTAATCAGCGACCTCAGAAACCTGTAAATATAAGTTTAGAAGTAATTCTGCCTATCCATTCCAGAGCGTCGCTAAAAACAAAAAAAATAGTTTTTTGGTATGGCACCCCTTTAGCGACACGCTATCGGTATGGCAGTGCAACCCCCGCTAAAGTGATGCAACAGAGCATCTTAAAACCAAAACGCCATACCGGTACCTATTATACATGTTATAGAGGTATGGCGTTTTGAAATCTTTGTTGTACAGTTCATTATTAACAATGATCCCTGTCTACAGTGGAAAAATTACACGTTTTGGAAAGTATGGCGGACCTTAAGTGACGCCATATTGGTACGGCATATTGAGATCGCGGACTTTGGCAACCTCATTGATGACATAAAACAAGAACCAAAGTGGGGCCTATGATCCAGGGTCATGGATATTAATTACACGTTTAAAAATTCACCACCCCTAAAAGCTACACTTTAGGGGTGCCATACCGGAAATTCAAAGTGGGGAATAACGTTATCTATCAACCCCCAAAGCCTCGGTGTGGGGTCTATGATACATGCAAAAACCCTCTCGGCTTCCGGTCTAATTGTTCCGTTTGCTTTCCATCGCGAGGTAAAAATCTGACGAACCTGGGCCCGTTTTTGGCCTTAACCTAACCCGGGCCGTTATATCTATACGCACATTTAGATAGCTTAGTAATTTATACAGTGTGGACCAATGAACGTTTTCCAATACGCTTTAAAAAAGTTTATATAAAAACTACAGAGAGCATTAGACTAGCAGAAAACGAATAATATCAGCTTAGCCAGTTTATATGGCCCGTATAAACGCCGTTATAGACGTTTTCTCTTCGATCTAACTCTTTGTTGTGTTCACATGAACTTGTGCAAATGGTAATGGAAAGGGTTCGATAGTTCGATAGTCTACTTTGTTTGTAATAAGCATTTTTTCTCAACTTGGTTTAAGAAGGAGCTAGATCAAATTCTTAATGGACTTGTGCAATCTTTTTCTAGCCATAACAATGACCATGTATTCTAAATTCAAATAACAATTCTTTTTCTCTCAGCAACAAATTAAATTTGTGTTTCAAGGACATTTGCACTCCCCAGTCACATTTTTGTCGGTGCTGCTGATGCATCTTATTAAATAGCAACCACGAACCAAAAAAAAAATCCAACATTTTTTCAGTCTCAATATTACGGGTGGTTTTATTTTTATTTGTTTGAATGGAAATCTTACAAATGTAATGTGTTTTGATTGCATTTATTTCTGGACCTCATATCGGGTGACAATGAGACATTGAGACCAGTGCAGAGCCATGTCAATACCATTCATTTATGAAGCGATTTCGATAAAATTGATATGACAGTTATACTTAAAAAAATGACTGAAAATGCCGTACACTTAAAGTTTGTGTGGGACTATTTTAAAGCCCTAATAGAGCTGGGTAGTCAAAAGAGACTAACCTTAGCCTAGGTACCAGGCCACAGAGGACATAAGAAAGAACAACGAAGAGGTTGATTTACTAGCTCGAGAAGAAGCCTCAACGGCTCTTATTGGTCCGGAGGGTGGTGTCGTAAAGACAACTATCAGAATATGCACAAAGCAGTGGATGTTTAAAACATCTCAGGAGTGTTGAAAAAATTCAATAAGACAGAGCATCGCCTAAACTCACCGAGCATCTACTAAGCCTTAATATGAAAAATTCTTGAGTACTAATAGGTCTATTAACAGGGCATTGTAGGCTTAGCAGATATATGCATAATATTGGTTTGACAGAAGAGACCTTGTGCCGATTCTCTGCCGGAAAAGAGGAAACTGTAGAATACGCATTGTGCTACTGCAAAGGTCTATCAAGACTGAGATTCCTTATACTTGTAGAAGAAAAATCAAGGGCAACTAGCTACGCCGGAGAACTACTTCCTAGTCTATGGAGTCTACTACAAAAGATTAAATTAGATAAGGTACTGTAAACAAAGGTTAGAGGATATCCACAATAGATCTGAAAAGGTCTAGGTGGGGGAGGCCACATGGCCCAAAACCTTAATTAAATCTAATCTAACCGAAAATGCTATTAGGTTTAATTTTTAAAATGGGTCGCGCCTTATATTTTGTTTTTGGAATCTACGGTTTAAATTACATACGACAGTTTTGCCAAATTTTCTTTCTCCCAAACAAATAATTTTTTTATTTATTTTTATTTTTCTGAAGTACACGTCCATGACCTGTTTTAATAACTTTGATTAACTCAAAACAAAAGCTATTTCACAAATTGAGCTAAAAATAAATTCTTTATATAAAAAATAAAATCTAAAACGTGTTTTTTAACAAAATCATATTTTTTAAATACCACCTATTAAGGGCCATTTCTCCTTTAGATGGAAAATTGTATAACCAATCTGACAATATGGACTATGGTACTAATAATGCACTATGCACCAAATGTACCAAATGATCGAAAGTTAAAAGGTTGAAAGTGACAAAAGATCGAAACCAAGAAATATCAAAAATAGAACAAATAATCGAAATCGATATGATCGAAAATACAAATGATCGAAACCAGATATTAAAAGTACAGATGATCGAAATCACATATATTTTAAAATAGTAATGATCGAAATGATATATGAATGAAATGGTATTAGATTATATTAAGCAATTAGTAAATTAACTATTTTTTAATTTTTCACATTTCATATATAATTTTTTTTGCAAAGTAGTTTACGATGGCTCCAGGTCGCACAGGTTAAAAACAAGTTTTTTACTTTCCTGCGTCTGAATGATTGTTTTTTTCTTTTATAACATTCGATCTTTCTTCCGTTCGACTAATTGCATTTTCGATCATTTGAACTTTAGATTAATTGATTTTTCGACATTTTTTAATTTCGAATAATTATATTTTCGATTATTTGTACTTTCTATGTTTTAGTGCTTTCGACTATTTTTAATTTCGATCAATTCAATTCGATCCTCGACCTTTTGACTTTTGATCATTTTTTAGCTAAACATTTTTCAATTCATGGCCTTTTATACAAAAACAAGTAAAAAAAAATATTTGGGAGGAATGAAAATTTGACGACACTTTCATATGTAATTTGACAAGTAGATTTCAAATAATATAAAATATACATGGTGAACTATTTATGACATTTCAGGAAATCTTCCATTTTGTTTATGCATGTCTCAATTCAAAATCATGTCTACTATGTTTATTAGAAATCGTTTAACAAATAAAATAGATATTAACGTGGCTTTACTCGGTATATATTTTTGCTCTTATCAGCTGCCTCCGAGGTCGTGCTATAATTTGTCACACTTCTTGCATTAGACAATAAACATATACAGTATCGACTATTGAACACCTGCCAATATGCATTGCACAAGTGCTTGTGTAAACTACAGAGAGTTAGTATTAGAACGAGAAACAACGCAGTCGAGCCATATAAACTGGTAACGCTGATATTCTTCGTTTCCTACTCGATTTAATGCTAACTCTATAGTTTCTAGATGCTCTTGTGCAAGGCGTATTGGAAAACGTTCAGTGGTCGACACTGAGTAAAAATGAAAAATCCAGACAAAGTTACTACATAATAATTCTTTATATCACTCATACTACAGTTATTGATACAGAGTCTAAAAAACTTGACCTTTCCTCACAGATATAAGACAACTAAAGTAAAGATATTCAATATAATATTATCAACATTCTTTGTAGACTTTGGATTGTAAAGGGAGTGAGGAAGCTGTTTTGTTTTTCCAGGTCCTATTCTAACTGTGCACATGTGTAATTATAATAGAGGAAAAATAAAATAAATTGCGAAAATTAAATAAGATAATTTGTAAGTATAAGTAACGAGTATATACTACACTTTTGGACCATTACAGATATTCCACTATCCAAATCATAATATATAAAAATATAATCTCCTTTCATTAACAATTCATTAAACAAGTATTTATTTTACCAATATTTATGATTCCTTCTAGGTTGTAACTACCATGGGCCCCAAGAAACCTCAACGCTCATCTTCGACTAGTGAACCATCTACAAACTATCATTCAGCAACATCCATTCCAAACTGCTTTCTAGAGACTAGTTTTACATCGTTGCAGAGCCCCTCGAGCAACTCGTCCATTACCAATGGCTACTTTTCAACTAGAAGCCAACCGTCCCCACTTTCGTTTTATCAGATTACTAAATCATCTACGCCAGTGATTTGCAGGAACTTAGACCGGTAATAGCATATTACATAATAAGTGTAGTGTGGAAAGTATAGAAAAAGCAGTGGTGTACCATTTTTTTAAAAGTAACACCCTATAGTTATACATATACATACATATCTTTTAGGTTTGGAGGTATGTCAATTTTTTTTGAGTTTTTTTTAATTCTGACCATTTTTCCTTAATTAAGTTTGAAATTAATGATTTACATCAGTATAATCAGAAAACCATTTAAAACTTTATATAGTTTTGGTGTTGAATTTAGACTAAAATACCCTATATCTTTTCACCGCAGATCCATGTCAACTATTCACTGTTCCTCCAATCCTTCAACGAAGCTTCAGCCGTCCAGACCTGAGCCTAAGACTATCAGCCGAAGTCTGAGTCTCAGCCTGAGAAGTTGCAATAGTCCAAAAGTGGATTTGATACATGACGACTGGTTGGGATTGGCTCCGTTAGCTAGTTCTGAAAGTCTGTCCGAATTATCCAGTATAAGTTCCAGAGCCAGTTTGGTTACAACGACTAATGTTATAGTAGAGATAAACCGTACCCCAAAAGTAAGTAAAATTGGTACATAAAAACTGTTATTGTAGCTGTTAAAATCATTTGAGGAGCTGGCGGGAAAAACGATAAGGGTGCAAAATTTACGAAAATCGAAATATTTGGCGCAAACTATAAATATTTGTATGTACTATTACGCATAGAAAACGTTTACGGGAAAATTGATAAGGGTCGCCATATAAGTATAGCTAAAAATATTTTAGTCAGTTGTGGGAAAAACGATGAGTGTACCTGGCGTTTGATGGAATATAGATGAACGTGATTTTGAATTGAAACCAAAGACATTACAACATAGATACAAAATGTTTCATTCATTAATCCCATACAATTGCGGACTGTTATTGTTTTAAAATTGTTAGTGAGTGGAAGAGAGAAAGAGAGATCTCTTAGGACCGGCTGGCAACGTTGTAAACAGTGTCCATAATATGCTCGCCAGTGGCGTAGAGTTTTAAACTTACCAGTATTGTCAAAGTAGTATGTTAAAAAAATATGTAAATAAGTAGGTATATTTTTTTAGTAATATAATTATGTTGTTTTTTTCATGTAGGTAAATTCAAGTAAAAGTAAATTCAAATACAAGATAATTCAAGTTACCATCCGATTTTTAATATTTATTGGTTTATAGTTTATTGGCATTTACTATATATTTGCCTGGTATGATAACCAAAATTATTTAAAATTTTATATTGACATTAAGTAAGTAGAGGTATCTAAATAAAACACTGTCCTAAAAATATATTATTTTTAATTAATAATTACAAAAAAAACATAGTATGGCAAAAAATATCGTAAAAAAGCTGTAAATTTTTTTTAAAATAACGTTTTAAATATATTAAATACCTTAATTTAATTAACTAAAATTTCATTAAATTTTTTAAGTTATTACTTACTTCAATGTTTTTTTTTTGAAGCAGGTGGTGTTTTAAAAATAGTTGAATCAGAACTAAAAACCCATACATTAGATATACATACATATAGGTAATAAATAATGTTTGGAGGTAAATAAAAAATTAATATTTTGTATTTTTACCTGTTGGATAAGTCATCCAAAAATAGAAAGCCCTCACACTGTGTGGGGTTTGGATCTTTTTGATATATTTAGCACCATTTGCACGTACCAAAACATCTTCAGGAAAAAAGTGTTCTAAACACAACTCTGGGGTTTTACAAAGGAGCTGATCCCTACTAGAGAAAACCAAAGTTTTCTTTCCTCAGGATCTTGCGGAAACCTAAATAGAATATTAAAAAATATGTATAGGTGCCTAATAAGTAAATCATGTTTAAGGTATTCTACACATTACGTTAAATTTTCTTTGCAACTATTCAATAATTATTTATTGGTATAAGAATAATTTACTAATTCATAAAAGGAATATCACTTTAAAAACTGTTTTAAGACTGTTTTAGACTACACAAGTATTTGATACAATTTCTTGTACAATTTAAATTGTATATTATCAAACCTGCAGTGAATTGTCTGAAAAATTAGATTGGATAATCATTTTTCAAACAATTTACTATGTGATCCTATACAATTTAAATTCTTTAAAAAATTATATCAAATCTTGCACAAGAAATTGTATAGTCGAAACAGTCTTAAGACGGGTGCCCTACTCCACTGGTTCAAATAAAAACAACATATCTTAACCTAAAAATACTTACCGATGAAAGGATAAATTTCAATTTAAATGATCTACCTTATTGAACACTACACATGCATGTACCATAATTCTTTATATTTCTCACAAAAATAGTATTTTATAAATGAATAAATCAATAAGTCGCACAGAAACTGTCAGAAACACAAAATAGCTGTTAGACCCGATTGGCAACATTGCGGCTGGTTACGGTAACTACATTTCATTCATAAAAATAGGTACTAGTTGTAAATTCGTAAAATAAGATATTCCGAGTTGCCGTATTTATGGAGTTCTTTGCAACCTTAATATTTTGTTTAGATTAATATTGATTTTTAATAAAAAAATTTAGCTTATATTAAAACTTTTAAAGAATAATTTGATTAAAAACATATTTTTATTTATATAATAGAAAATTATAGTTATAGAATGCATCAAATTTTATTTTTCGAAAGTAATTTCTCCAAATAATTTTTACAGACTGATAAAACCGGCAAAGACGCGATAAACAAGAATCTGGTGGGAATAATGATTTGCTACATAAAAATGTAAACAATTTGGTCTCTTAGTTGTAATGTATTTGATTGAAACCATGGCCGTGTAGAAAAGCCAACATCGCATAAATACCTATCAGTGTTAGTATTGACACTTAGACACTTATGATTCAAGTTTAGCAACACTGTCAGTGATTATCAGTAGCAGGTAGCAGGAGTGCGTTTAGAAACCTCGCACGACACGTCTGAACCACATACTTATAACAGGGTCCAGACGCACTCCAGTAGTTGTTAAGTCTGTTTAGAAGCGTTTATGTCGTTTGTATTTGTTATCAAATAAAGTTTGTCAATTAAATTAATTTACTGGACAGTTTTAATTATCATTACAGAAGGTTATGGGCCCAGATCTCAGTTAAAAATGAATAAGTGGGTTGCGGTAACTATTTGAAAGGTGTAAAATACAAAAAACGGAAAAGCGAGGCATAACAGGATAAAACTAACATGGCGTCTAATCAACAAAACATTTTGTTAAACATAAAACCATTCGACGAAACCAACTATTCTAACTGGGAATGAAACAGCAAGGAGTACTGGAAACAATATCGTTAGACCCGTTAACACTAACTGGAAACTTTCAAGAAAAATGATATTAAAGCAAGAAATATTATAGTCGCATGCTCATCAGATAATTTGCTGGAAATGTTTAAAGTAAAAGAAACTGGCAAGGAAATTTTAAGTATAGTACGAGCAAGAGATATATTGTAACTTTAAAGCTTTAAAGTCAGCTAGCAACATACAAAAAAAAAACTAAGAAGACTAATGCATCACCTTTAAAAATAGTAGAGGAGCATTCAAGAGATTGAGTATACTTATTTTATTTTTAGTTCCCTCGATAAAAGGGAAGTATTGTAATCGTGAAAATTTACATTTTCACGTTTTCGGATTCCTTGATTACGAAAAACATGTTTTACCCATTCCGTCGGTCTGTCTGCCGTCCGCCGTCTGTTGTCTGTCGTCTGTTTGTTGGCGCGATAGCTTCAAAACGGCTTAAGAGAAAAACTACAAATTTTGTATGCAGGTAAGGCTTCCTTTTGGCTCGAAACTGGTTATACCTATAGTTAGATATATGCAAGGTAAGTAAAGTAAAATATTTATTTTTAAACGTCAGCAGATTTCGACTAATATTGGTTTCCGATAAAATTGGTATCTGATCAAAGATAAATGATTTTTTTTAAATTCAAAATAGCTTCCCTGTTTTTACAATTTATACAGGTTGTTTTTTAATGGTATGCTATATTGTAGCGTGTGATTTCTCAGGTCATTTTATGAAGAAAAGTTCACATGAACATATGTCAGCAACGGCTTCAATTTTTTTCTACATTTGTTTTTTAAAGAGATATTTTTTAATATCTTTAAAAATAGTTTAGATATAATTTTCAATTTTGACATGTGTTATTAGAATATAAAACCACAAACTTTAGACGAAAAAGTTATTCTATTGCTTCACCAGTGCCGTTTATCTTATCGTTCATCAATTAAATTAAATTTCTTCGTTTTGCAGTATTGACGATTGACTTTAATTATTTTAATCAAAAGTGAGTAATGATCTAGTATCTTTGATCAGATACTAATTTTATTAGAAACCAATTTTAGTCGAAATCTGCTGACGTTTAAAAATAAATATTTTTTTAACTGCTCACCCTGTATATATCTGACTGGAAGTATAACCGGTTTTGAGTCAAGAGAAAGCCTTACCTGCATATAAAATTTGTAATTTTTTCTTCAGCCGTTTTTGAGCTATCGCGCCAACAGATAGACGGCAGACAGACCGACGGAATGGGGAAAACATGTTTTTCGTAATCTAAGGACCCAAAAACGTGAAAATTACAATTTTCAAGATTACAATACTTCCATTTTATACAGGGAAGTAAAAATAAAATAAGTATACTCAATCTCTTGAATGCTCCTCTACTATTTTTAAAGGTGATGTATCAGTCTCCTTAGTTTTTTTTTTGTATGTTGTCGTCTAGCTTCAAAGCTTTAAAGTCACACTATGTCTCTTGCTCGTACTATACATTTAGGGGAACCTACAAAAAAAAGAGAATCAAGTTCAATTGCAAAGGAAACTAAGAAATCTGAAATTTAAAGGTAAAAGTGAATCATTAAACGCGTTTCTAACCGAATTTAAACAAACTGTGTGTGAATTAAAACATTCAGGTGGAAATATTAGCAACAGTGAAGTTGTTTCTCAACTTTTGTCGCCAATGCCAGATTCGTTTAATTCTGTAACAACAGCTGCGCGTCGTGGCCTTAAACTCGTTGCTCATGCATTAAAGGCTCGATTATGTATTAGCGTCATAATATACTATTCTCGATTTTGGTGTGAGAATGTCATATTATCGCACGCAAAATAGTTAAAAAATGAAGTTCATTCTTAAACAATTTTTGGTGACTTTTTGTGACACTTTTTATGTACATTTCAAATTAAGATTATATTTACACCTTCCATGAGACAGTGCTCGAAAATTAAAAATTCAAATATTTAAAATATTTCTTAAATTTAAAGTTTTTGCACATTCATCGTTTTTCCTGCTCCTCATTTGTAATTTGTTATTTTTTATCATTTAAATGTATGCACTGGTTTTTAAATTATAACACTCTAACTATAATTTTATTTTTAGAGAAATTGATAATTTTCATTGTTACTTATGATTTAATGCTGTAGCAACATCGTAATTTATTAACCCATTGAGATCAATTTTTCTGAAACTTCTCTAATTGTCTAAGATATTTCTGTTGCTTTCAACCCATTATAATAATAATAATAATAATAAAAACGTCTTTATTATTTCCAATTACATATAT